GACTGTGCACCGCAATGCCCCTCCCAACTGGAATAGACCCTGAATATGGAAGACTAATCGTACTCTGGGCTTCCTTAAAGTTGGTTGACGGGGAATAAGAGGCAAAAGCACTTAATGAGCGACTGTGCTTGTCATTAAGAACGGTTTTCTTTTTGTAATGTTTTCACCATAATCTTTGTGTAGACTTATGTTTTTATAAAATGTAAAAGAAATATTTTGTTAGTAGGTAGAATGTACTAAAGAAGGTTTAGCAGACCTCACACTGTTAAAGAAAGAGTCATGCCGCGTTTTCCAGGTTAGCTCGTTTAGAGAGTAAGGGGTTCAAAGTAAGCTAAATTTGCAGTTGTCATATTTTTGAACTTGCTGCCATCTAACTTCCCACTTACACGCTGAGTCATAATGTTCTTGATCTCACATAGTAAGAGGTGGTGAATTACTGCAAAGGTGTGTCAATTAGACGTTTTGTTTCTGGTTTTTCAGGGAAGCAGACTCCGAGTGAGCGATCTGCGTCGCTGGACTAAAGTCGATGAGGCTGAAGGCGCATTAGAAACTGATTAATTCTGAGGTACGCACTCAATCCCTTCATTAGTGACTATCTCCGAATCCTTTTTTTCATTTTTAGAGAATATTTTCCAACAACATGACGAAAGAATTAATCCTCGTTTGATTTCTAAGAGTTTATGTAAAGAATTGGGACTGAACCTTTGTACAGTTATTTACGTTCTACTGCTCGCATTCAAGCTTTCATGCTTGTGTACCTTCAATGGAGGCTCTTCAGCGAATTCATTTTCATGAACAAAGCATGATCTGAACTGTAATTAGTAGTCAAAAAGGGAACTTGTTGACCCTTTGCTTGGCCATTGCAGCAATCGCAAACCGCTATTCGAAAGTAAGGCACTACACTTGTGGGACGCTATCAAGCTTTTCATCGATAAATTTGTCCCGATATCTAGTCGCCACTGTCTGAGACGCTGTAGACGCTATCCGTACTATCCCCCCATTTGCTATGGAGCACGCAAACCTATGGTACACGCAAACCCACATAGAATTTTCTTGGCATATACTACAATGGCATTGTTCTACTCCAAAACATCAGGAGAAAAATTTGAAAAACCCACTCATTATTGTAGAACATATTTATAATGCCACACTCTATTATTCTCTTGATGTCATTATTTCAAGTTTTTATGAATCCTTATTTTCGGTTTTCACTACGGATTCACTGACCACTTCTTTAGCCGCTTTTGTTTAATTTTGTTTTATTCGCTGCTTTTAGTACATCATAGTTTTGGTAATGTTTTTTTTCCTAAGTGTCAAATATTAGTAAATGGTTCCACAAAAATGCTGGGTTGTGAACAAAACTTTCGCCCCAGGCGGGACTAGAACCCGCACCTCTCGCTTTCCGGGCAAGTGCGCTACCAGTTACGCTACCGGGGCACCATTTCATCCCAACTCAGCTTTTCATGGTATACTTACCATAGCTTATCAGCACTCACACGTAAAACTGTTGAGCCGACATGGCAGAACCGCAAGGCTGAAAACTTGAAAAAATCAACTGCCAAAAGCTTTCAGCCTCGCGGTTCATTGCCGATATCGGCTAACCGGCTCAACACGTTATACGTGTGAGTGCTGACAAGCTATGGTAAGTATACCATGAAAAGCTGAGTTGGGATGAAATGGTGCCCCGGTAGCGTAACTGGTAGCGCACTTGCCCGGAAGCGAGAGGTGCGGGTTCTAGTCCCGCCTGGGGCGAAAGTTTTGTTCACAACCCAGCATTCTTGTGAAACATTCGCAAGGCGAACTGCGGCCAAAAACAGCAGTTAACAAACATAAGTAGTATTTGGTTCCAGATATGGTTAAGCAATCCGATATTTACGCTGCTATGATGGCCTTGGGTCTTATGGCTGCACTTGCCGTGAATTCTATGCTTGAGCGACGGAAAGAAGAGAGGCCACTGCCCAAAATACCAGTACAGTCTTGGGACAAATATGTAGAATTGCAAAAGAAAAGCGGAAAAGAAATTTAAAAATTCCCTTTAGTCTCCAGATTAGATTGCTAGAGTAGTTTATTAGTACAAAAGATCATTCAAACAGATGTTGCTGTATTAATGCTAAGAAATCAGTGAAGTTTTATCACATGGTTGTTTCATACTGTTTTGCTCAGAACTTTGTTTATGTATAAAAAGTAATAATTACCATTTTCTTTTGTTTCTGGATTATTTATTGCGGTTTCTTCTGCCGGTCCATGACTAACTGCTATGTTTGCTCATAACCGCTCCATTATACTTTTTATCTTCTAAGGAAGGTTCATGTCATCGCTGGTCCATGGTCCAAAAAAATATTGAAATGTCGTAAAAAAAATATTGTATTGTCCTAGGTGAGTTTGGAAGCACAGCTTTAAGTCTTGTCGATAAAAATTCCGAGAAAGTTTGATTTCGCCATGCAGTTTAGTTCAGTGGTTAACACTGTCAGCACAAAAGCTGTGCTCTTCAAACTCATTTTTTTCTCGTTTTCACTGTAAAAAGGATATAGGTGACGAGGTGTTTTATCGCTTACATTATGCAATCCTTGTCCTACATCATGTGTCATACGTCATACAGCAAAAACGCTACGGCGTTTTTGTTTCTACGTTTGAATTCAGTCAATGGATCTTTTCTTGCGAAACTACCCAGGGATGTACGGAAGAGCTTTTCTCAGCTCTTATTGCCCTATTGGTCACAACCAGTTATATCACGTTTATGTTCGGATGCAGTGCTCGAAATTCGAAATGTTTGAAAGCTGCTATTCTTTGGATTTCATAGAGACAAAATTTGTTAACGTTCTAAATTCTTTGCATGACCCTGTCCCAACCATCCCAATCTGTTGATTTGGGCATTACGTTTACGTCATATAAGTTGATTTCCCGGTTCTTGTGAAATGGGAATTTTTTTGAATTAGTGCTTTAAGAGTGGCGCTCGTCTTTGTTAAACTCTCATCACAACTTAAGGAATTAAAGTCAAAGGATTGCGATAGTAGAAGGAGAAGGGAAGGGTTCATATATTATGTGTTAATTGACTGGCCATAAAGAAAGCGTCAAAACACTAAATGAGATCTGGTTTTTGGGTAAATGATTGGTCGATGAGATGGACAGCATAAGAGATACTGGCCACCCAGTTGAGAACAAACTCGAAGATGAGAGAGTATAGGAGGTGAGAGAGACGCAGACACCAAGAAACGAAGTTTCGCAAGTGGTTGTCATAGAGATGATGCGTAAGGGGGGTTTTTTGGGGCAACACGTCATCCAATTCAAATGTGTTCATGAGATTATGTCAAAGCCGAGGCCCGAATAATTACGCTTGAACGATCCAACCGAGAAAATTCCCTCGACATCTTGAGTTCAAAACAAGTAATATGTAGTTCCTGATCTAGCTCAAGTTCAGCTTCGAAGTGTCACATGGGCCTCAAATCCTCGCGAAGTGATATTTAGAGAATAGATGTCGGAGCAGGGAAGGCAGTATCTGCGAGTTATATATGTGTTATGTTGCTCACAAAAACAACCACAGATCAAAGCCGGGGTTACAGCGGTAAATAATGAAATTGTGGATGGTTGACTGAGAATGGAAAAGGAGGCAATGCGAACCGCCCATGAAAAGGACTCATTCTTGAGCTGAGGAGGGGCGTTTCGGACGAGTTGTTTGAGCTGCTCGCTGCCCCTATTGGCTTCACCAATCGCGAGGTATTCTGAATTAGCCACTACGCAGTCCGCGACACGTTGCGTGTATGGGGTCTGCGCGAAGTGTGTCGTCCGTAAGGTTTCTACAGTTTGTCAACGATGCAGAGTCATTTCTGTGGGGCACATCATACGTCAACGTTGCGCACATTTTCGAGGCCGCGCCACATGGCACAACTGTGATGCTCGCCAACAGGGCTACCACCCCTGCCACAGTATGGCTTAACACGACACGACCTCGTCTGGGTGGTTTCTTACTAGACTATTATAACAAGTCCTAGGCCTGCAAGTCACATTTAAGGGAAAGGCCTACAGCTCGTAGGAACCCCGACCCTCTCGCACAACTCCCCCAAAGCTCACTGCTGTCCGTAGTCATGGGGTTTTTTTTTATTGTGTGAGGTTCGTTTGAGGATGATCGCTTGCCCCTTACCATTAGTGCCCATTCTGTGGAACAGATATGTCTGATTTCTGATTGTAAATGGATACGTGGAGCGCCTCATAAAGGAATCGACCAGCGTTGGACCTCAACTTTTCTTTTAGTTCAAGAGTAATTTTTAGAGATAGGCGTGTTTGTAGGACACGTCTTTTTTAAGCGTGTTGAATGGAAAAATTGTGGCTGGGCTCATCTAAATTGAAACATCTTCGTATAGTAGTGCGATGCGGCGGCTGGTTATTACCTGAACGGTTCGGAATAAACAGTTGCCCTTTGAAGGAAAGGTGGCTGCCGTGGGGTAACTAATTTTTTGCCAGTTGCTGCAAAATTGCGGGAAGTGGTCTGAAAATCAGTGGCGTCAGCCGAGAACTTGCCCTCTCAGCTTGTGCTAGTGTTGCAAAAATTTCGCTGAATCAAGGGGTTTTCAAGTGCGTTATAAAAGACGCGACGAGGGCATTCTGAACTGAATGGTCCTCGGCGTCGTTATGACTTCATTACTCAGGTTATTTATTTGCAATCATTCGATTTTCATATTTGCTTTTCCAAAAAACTCATTGTCCCACGGGTTATAGCTAGCTCGACCTTCGTCAGGAGCTGTCGCCTTTTTTTGAAGTAGTTACAATGCGATCACTCATTATAATGTGGGTTAATTGTTATATGCTAAATATTTAACTTCGAAGGAAAGTAAGGTGTAACGTAAGTATAAGAAAATTTTAGAAATATTTGTTTATTTATTTGTTCCTTTGATTGCTACAACATCATACCTTTGTTCCCACCTTGTTCCTAGAAATTCAGAGTAAATTCGATTAAAGCCTCGGAAGAAAGTTATAGTTAACTATTCAGTGGTTTAGATACCCGCATGTCTCAAGCCGGACCATTCAATCGAGTACAGTCTGTTTCAGCACCGTTAAAAGGCTCATTTCCATTGGATCATGAGGGAACATGCAAGCTCGAAATGCTCAAGTAAGCTCAAGTTCGCTGTTTTCGTGGGAAGGTCAGGATTTCTGGAAAGTGCTGAAGAATTAAGTTCTTCTGGTCGCATAATTTACCCTAGCTACTCTGTCGTAAATTGATAGAAGTGTTACACAAAAGTTTGCACGGAAGTTGAAAGCTTGACAGATATGGCGAAGTAGCCCTGATCCAAGCGAATTAGACGCAGCTTCAAGTGTTATTATAGTAGGGACCCAAGGTTGCATAAACAACTGCCCAGCAAATCTCCAGCTTGGTTGGGTATGGTTCTCGCCAGGAAATTGAGACGACTAAGCTAAATGGTTTGCAGAGGGGTAGGAGGTTGACGAGGTCGACGAGTTAGGTTAAGGGAAGCGAAAATCAACAAAACAATAGCTTCTTTTAGGTACATGTGTTGTCTGCATGAAAACAAACATCTAAACAGTGAATGCCGAGATGTGGCAAAAGCGTACTTCAAGTGCCGAATGGACCATGGCCTTATGGAAAAAGATGAATGGGATCGCCTAGGTTATGGAGATAAGTAGCTGCAGAGCTTCTCTTCCTTTTTTTACTTGAGAACTTAGCAGGTTTTACGCTGTTCGTTTGTTTCGTTCTTGTTGCATTCTTTGGATTTTTTTCCTAATGCGTTAATGACTGACGGTCATGTAAGTAATAATTATGTAGTGAGTGCCAGTAACAGGCTGTCAGCCATATTGGTTTCACTTTTGCAATTTAGCAATTTTTAAATGAATAGTGTTTGCTAGTGGTAAGCCGTAAGCTGCCCACAAAAATGAAATTTGATGCCATGTTCGTTCTAATCCGTTTTGATTGGTTAGTTTGATTACTAATGTTTCTCTTCTTCTGCTTTCTTGAGGCTTTCCTGCATGAGGGTACATAGGGGCAGTTTATCCTCATGAATCTTTCATTTGCTCATTTTGATCTTCACAAATTACTAAACTATATAATAAAAATGTTTATAAGAGGAATAAAGTACGTCAAGCAAGAACTGTAGAAAACTAGGTTTGGGGTAAATACGAGAGATCGCTAGTGTGTTCTGCTCACTGATTTTCTTGGAGGTGTATTTCAATTCTTCTCCTCAGGTCAGGTCTCTTCAGATCAGAACCCCTCTTATTCGCTCGTATCAAGCCTGAGCCTCAGCCAAACCTCAGGCTTCAATCGTTGCGCACCTCTGGTGACCTTACCTAAGAGAAGAACTGGATGTCTACTCATCTTTGGGTGCAGCGGGTGGCACATCGTGCAGCGCGGGGAAATGCTGCCAATAGGAATTGTTCTTACTCGTTGAAAGTTTTCATTTAGCTCCAACCCCTGGGGCTTCGGTCGACGGACTACTTGAATTCAACCCTTTGAACCGGTGCTCCCGCCTGTACTCTCACCAAAACAGCGGGTCATGAATACTGTGATTTCACATAATCAAACTTTTGCCACTTGCTCACCTACCCTGGAAACCCCGTCTTCCCAAGGCTTAGTCTAGGGGTCTCACTTTCCTCCACGATATTTCGAGCCGAGCCATGCTTCTGAAAAGGTAGCAAAGGGTCGCTTATAGTGGCTGGATTAAGGAATGGCGACAAACGGAACCCCCGTCTACACTCAACCAGCGGGAAATTATATAATCCTTCAGATAGCTTTGAAACCTACAGATTACAGATCGGAAGAGATCTTCCATGAGCAAGTTCAAGAAACCATATCAATAGTTCTATTCATTGAACACTCATTGTTAATCGCTGTTTGTATTTTGATCTTGGGAAGTGATACAAAGTCTTAAAGGTATCTAACATGGTAAGACCATGATGCTAGAGTGGAGCGAAAAATTGGGAGTTAAAGTGATACAAATCTGAGGTGAGAACGTCTCAACAATTCATATTCGAATCAACACCGAGGAGAATCTCAGTTCGAATTGTAGTTTAGCAGACACTTATGCTACGGCTTGTACGTCGCTTCGTAAACGCATATTATGTATGGTATCACGTTTTGTGAAAGGGTTCCCTTTATGGTGTCAGCAAAATTAATGGCATAATTGATCATGCACAACCCAAAACGGATGCTTGTAAAATCCTTGAACATAAGAGGTGAATACGAAGTTATCTACGACACGCAACCCCAGGGGCCGTATGCTATGCTCCCCGAAGGGGTTAGGGGACGAAAATTCCTTTAAATTTTCTCTGTCTTCCCAACTGGGATTACCCTGATAAAAGGCCTACATTAAATGTATGTATGTAGGTTAAAGTAAACATGCATTGAAAATGAAGAAGCTACATCATTCAAAGCAAATAAATTTAAAGGAAACTTTGCGTCACCTAGCTTCGGGGAAGCATAGCATACGGCCCCAGAAGTAAGGGCTATGTTTGGAAGATCGGGTATACCTGAACAACTCTTTACGGATGAAGTGTTGGTTGCGATACAAATGACTGGAGCATCAAAAATAATCGTGCATGCTACGGAGCAAAGCGACTGCCCTTCTATGAATATTATTACATATGTGTCATGTGTGAAACCACCACTATCAGTAGGACTCCGCGTGACGACTGCGTTGGTGAAAATTCGTGCTGATCCAGGCTTGTCTGTCATGTCCATTATGTCTTTCGTAAACCCTGAACAAAAGTGAGAAAACCTTTCGAAGAATTATTCGATAAAGAAACTTTTGAGTGAATTTTTAAACGAATGGTCCCCATACTTTTTTTTCGGAATTTAGACGTTTTCGAAGATGTTTGTTCCTTGTTTAATTGTTGCTATTTTCCCGTACCAGCTTGTACCGGCTGGTGTTATCAGCTCACAACGCCACGGGTGCTTTCCGCCTCGTACGGTGCCTGGAACAGTTGATAACTGTTAAGCGATAGCGGACAGCATCCATTCGAGATTGCAGATTGTCGGAGAAATTTTTTGCATGACTGTCTGACCATACCGCAATGACCTTTAATTATCAGGACGGACAACAGTGGCAAGCGGACGGTTGCGGTCATTTGCAAGTGCAGTTGAGTGAGAAAGAAAGCTTTCAGTTCAGGAACTACAGCAATAAAATCAGAACAGATGAAAAGGGGAAATTCCGAGGATGGATTACATAACTCCAAAGTCTGAATCGCTACAACTAAACGCGTTTCACAGCGCGACACTTTTTTAGCTGCGGGTACCCCTCGTCCACCTGTGAGTCATTAGTGGTCCTGTCCTAGCGAACCACACCCTACCTGTCACCTACTATACCCTACTTACCTATCTCGCAAGCATTAATGCCTAGCAACAATTTCTGAGTGTTACCACGGAAATGACTCTTATGCTTATTCTTGTCCCTCTTCTTACCTTTTTTTCTTTCATTTTATCCTTCTTTTATGTTCTTTTTCGATGTTCAAATTTAGCCTTAAGCAACAAATACTGCTTGGGCAACTGCTCACATCTTGCCCTATACCCAAACACGAGAAGAGCCCGCGTATTTTTTGTTTTGTGCTTTTATGTAATTTGATTAGATGCTTTACGCACTTGACTCACAATCAGTTTTGTACTTGAAAACTCATTAAAATAGTAGCTTGGGGAATCAATCAAAAGCAGGAACAGACTCCGCACCTTTAGCGTGTACTGAAATGACTGTCTTTTAAAACTCTCACAGTTGAACCATGGGCTTGTGATGCGACCCAAAAACGGAGCACGAAAGGGCGGAAAGGTCCGAGAACAAAAATGGACAAAGAACAAGGAGTCACCACGTTGAAGAGTTGCATAAATCCAAAGTATTAAGGCCAATGTCAAGAAGGGATCGTACATCGAATTCCAAACAGAGTTGTACAGCATGAGTGTACCTGGCTTTTTCGAGCACTAGCCTATGTTATCCAGGAGCCGGTATGCATGCTCCCCCAACAGGGGAGGGTCCCCGTCCCGGTATGCTATGCTTCCCCCGACAGTTCTCGGGGAGAGGCCACGCCCACCGATAGCCGGGGATATCTCCCCTATCGCCTGCCGATCGGGGCAAGCCGGGGATACCGTAATTTCGTAGCCGCCGTACGCATAATTGTCTGTCGCGCGCACAATTCTTCTATGGGTTGCGTATACTGCAGTTTTCTGAAGATTGCTCATTTGTGTAGTAATCATACAAATCTATGATTGCGCAACAAGGTTAGAATTGGAGCTACACCCAAATCAGTTCCACCAAACTATGTCAGATACATAATCGGTCACGCGTCGAACCATGATTGTTATTTCTATGGCCATCTTAAATGAGATTATGATGCCATCGTGTATGTTTTTCATTGTGCGGTTTAGGGCTTAAGACCGACGTCATAGTCGGCGACGGACCAAGCGATGGAGCGATCGCGATCGCTCCATCGCTTGTCCGTCGCTTGCCAATCGCTCTCGGTCGAGCGATTGGCAAGCGATTGCGCAATGTGCACAAGCGACGGGCGATTGGCCCCGCCCCCAGTCAATGCAGTCGGCTGCGGTATCGATCGAGCAGAGCCATTGCCCGTCGCTTGTGCACTTTGCAAGCGATTGCGCAATCGCTTGCCAATCGCTCGACCAAGAGCGATTGGCAAGCGACGGACAAGCGATGGAGCGATCGCGATCGCTCCATCGCTTGTCCGTCGCCGACTATGACGTCGGTCTAAGCATTTCGAAGATTTAGTCGATGTCACATTGAAGTGACACTATTCCACCGTTGTTGGGGTCATATGCTGATGCCCTGTTCTGTTCGATCAGTTGACTATATTTTATCGAAGATAGAACCAGAAATTTTTTCACATGAAAAATATTGGCTATCGAAGCCAATGACTTATTCACAAAAGTGAGCGGACTATTCCATTTCTGCTGATCATATCGCACACTGACACAATTCTTATACGTAGAAAATAAAGGCAGTATCAAATGTCTTGCCAACCAACCATAATTAAGAAAACTTGAACGCAATATTAAAGGCAAATCGCACTCTGCGCTGGGAAAGGGGAACTGGAAGGATGAAACCGCGGATTCTCCCAATTACAGAATGAGCTCACTAAAAACCTGTTAACTCTGAATTGAGGTACTGTTTGCAGGCTTAAATATGCGATAAAAGGAACAAGTACAATACAATAAATGTTCCATTGCAGCTGGCGTCCACAGTTGGGGAGATTGAAGGACTAATTTATGTACAAGCTGACTCCAATCATGAGTTAGGCCCTTCTCCTCCTCTAATACTCGTTTGTTTCGAGTTAGATCTCTAATTTGTTGAAATTTCCATTGGATTTCTTTTGCGGAACATGTTCGTAATGCTTGCAGGAAGCAAGTAAGAATCATACCTATATTTAATACAAGGAAGTACTTGCTCGCTGAATGAAGCAATCAGCAGCGGGGGAAATCTTTGTTTAAGTTCATCGCAAAATTAGATTGTTAGAAGATTATCTGCTTTTATTTTGACCACAGCAAGGTTTCGTTCTTCAAAGATAAATCGCTGGCTAATCTAATACATTTCATAGAATGATGTATAGAATGATCTTTTTCGTATCATTACCAACTTGGCTGATTAGCTCCTTAAACATTCTCAGTAAATGAAGTAAACGATATATGTTAAATTGAGCATTATCAAATGCTTCAGATGCTCGTGACGACAATGTGTCATAAGTCATAATATTGACATCAAAAGAATCAGACTTAACTTTCGAGGTGACATTGCTAATCTCGATCCTGAGTATCCTATCCTGCATATGCACCCTAAAACTTTATAATTAGTAGCTTTCCAAGCCTAAAACTAATGTCTGGCAAGATGCCAAGTTCTTCGCGCCATGGATACTCTGCATGTCTGCATCCCCTGGGGAGCCCCGCGAGCATAGCATACGGCCGCTTTCGGGGCGGCCGCAGCCGGGGAGCTCCCCCAATAGGGGGCCCCTCCCTTGTTGGGGGAGCATAGCATACGGCCCCAGCTTTTGTCCTTCGTGGGACCAATGGAGCAACAAATTGCTCCGTCCCGGAGACTTGCTCGGTAGATGTTAGGTGTAATTGTGAAGGTAGACGCTCGGACAGCAGCATGCAGATGAGGCACTGCTCCCTGAGAAAATAACATCGCCACAAACGAACATTGAAGCAAACCCGGCATTGCTGACGAATTGAAGGCCGTGGCGGTAGAATTATGGAGTGATGTGCAAGCGCAAGCATGTACCTACTAAGCGCGACGACTTAATAAGGTTGAGGCACTAGGGCTCAATGATGCACCATGAGCCACGCCCACCTCACAAACCGCCCACAGACCGATCTACTTCGCTTCTGCTGGCTACTTGGAGTTTTTTTCCGACGCAATTGTCGACGCCATTCTTCCTTCCGATTTTTTTTAATACATGTCACTTCGCATACCAAGCACATAACGCTCCCACTTAATCCGGATTTGGCCTTAATGACCCGCCCACCAACCAATAACCTCCTGTATGATCGCATGCTTCGATAACCTGGTAGCAGGAAACAATGCATTTCTTATCCCAAGGAGACGATTACCAACGTCTCATGTGGAATATTCTCCATTCTACCTGCTTTTGATCTAATAGGTGTAGGTAATTGTGTCTTGGTATGAAAGTAGTTGTGAGCTGCGCTGTGTGGGTTTGAGGGTTCCTAGCTTTTTCCTCCTATGGCGATTACAGTTGGACTATTCACTACGGCTTACGCTCATTCTCAAGCTCGATAACCCTACGTATTCAACAGAATGCTGAATACGGGCAAAACTCCTTGCCCAGAAGAAACTGAATCCCGCACTCTTCGCTTCGTGTGACAGTTGGCTGCGATACACCACCCAGCGTACCGTTTCACCTCAACCTAAATTTGTGATGATAGCTGTTTCAAAAAAATGACGATTAATAAATGATTTTGGTAAATGATAGTTGTAATTAGTGACAACTGATAGAATACAACTGCAACAGGCTAATCATTTCATTGGCAGAAAACATTTACATTTTGTGGAGGCCGTCGTCACTTGTGGTGTATGGTCTGCACCCGACGTTCTTCCCGTTTTTTTTTTCGAAAGGGAGTGTACTTATCATATCCTATCAGCATTATTTACCCATTCAATCGTGGAATGTACCTTCAACGGTATTAGTACAGTACCGTAGTATAGATCTAAACAGTTCATCGGGTACATTTTGTTAGTACCAGAGAACCTACTGCTCTATACGAATGGTCAGGAACTAGGTAAAACCACATATGCACGTCCCATAACCTTCCCGTTACACCGCGAAAGGCAAGCGCGTGGCGCAAACCCGAAAATCTCTACTAAGATATCTATGTAACGTAATCATCTGTCTATTTAACAAACATGGTGTCTCATCAAAATTTTTAATTCTAATTTTGATATCACAATTTGTAACAATAAAATTATTACATTACTATGTATTATAATCATCAAACATGATCATGGCATGACTAGGGAATGCTTGATGGAATGGCACCGAGATATATTAGCACAGGGAATGTGAACAGCACTGGAAATCAATCAATACGACCACACATAAACATGAAATCATAGAAAACAATCAATCAATAACTTAGACGATCAATGAGTGACAATGAGAAAACAAAAAATTGAGCAGTTGTATGGATAGTGATTTGAGGGTAAGGGGGGGACGCTTGGAGCCCCTTGCGGAAGAAATAGCACTGGATCAGAGTAACACCGAACCTGACTAGCGTCCCGGACCGGGAACTTCAAAACCACTTCGAAGACTTCACCATGAATGGGCACTGGATGTCGAAATGATACCCAAGGGAGATTATCTACCGGAAAACTTGCAATGGCCACCTAGCTTTGAACTCAAATGCCTCTGACCGAGCGCCTCCGGATTGCTTTTAATTTTGAAACAACCCTCCCCCCCCCCCTTCCCGTCTCAGACACCCGAGGAGGATATCCATATTAACGCTCAAATCGATAGCTTCTTATAGCACACCGCCCTTGTTCGTGCTGTTCTGTGTTCTGACAAGCAATCTTGAATCTTTTAACGAACACTACTTTCTGGCCTCGTGTTGTGTGCCATCCGAGCGCAGGCATTATCTCCGATGGCATAGTGTTGCAAGTTGTGACGCGTGGAATCTGAGACAATGTGTTCGCTGCTCGTTGTAATGTGTCATCGGACTGTGCATGATTCCGGTAGTCCGTGGGCATACAAGACGCTCGTCAACGCTAAGTCGTCTTGCATTCCGACGCATCTGATGAAGACCGCGAAATCTGAAAGCGAAGCTTTTACTCAACGTTCATCTTTCTGAGGCAGTTGTGAAGGAGTCGTGCGGTGCGACTTCTGTGCCAAATGTAATTATTCAACTATTCATGGCCAGTTAGATAAAGAACCTGCCCACCTGATCCCGAAGTTGAATGTTGTCGGCTTCTAACTGTAGTTGGTTTTGAATACGTCGCACTCGACAGTTCAGGGCGTAACCACGATTCTTGAGCGTTCGTCGTTTCTGCTTCATCATCGTCACCAACTGTCGGTCATGCCCTGCAATTAAATAGGCCGAAGTTGAATGACTACTCCCACCAGTACCCGCCGCTTATATTAGGAAAATACATTGCTCAAGGAGCCATTTTTCGGCTGCGAGCCCTAGTATTTTTAACTTTGCGGCGAGGTTTTAGAGGCAGCCTCGTTGCCGGCAGCTGTTGATTTATGAAAAGAATTGATCACATATTGTGCCCTACCCGAAGAAGCCGAGATAGCTACTAACTGCATTTTTAAACCACAAGCAACAAAATCACATCAATGTCCCTTAAAAGTCAAGAAGGGTTCGAACTTATTCGATTCATTTTTCCATCGACCGAGATTTGGTGCAATGCTAGTCAGGAGGGCACGCCTATTTTTCGGATACGGTAGGCACCGAATGTACGTGGGTGCAGGTGCCCACTGCAATGACGTCACGACAACCTATTTATCGTATAAAAACTTCCAATTACCTCTCGAGATCTAAGGAAAAGGACGGCGCTCCTTACCCTCCCAGATTATTTACGGATCGAGCCCCGTTAATCGAATGACCACAAGAAATACCACCGGCGCAATGTGGCTCGTGGGGGCCAGTCGCGACGCGCGCCTCTGCGTTTCTCTGTGTAAGTAGTTCCTCTTCGCTAAAAGGGGCTAAGCCTCTGGCAGGGGAGGAGGAACTCCAGGATCATAGCGATCGTCTTTTCATGTACACTCCAAAGTTCCGATGCCTCGCCCACATCTAGGCCTTAGGAAGCGACCTGAATGAACAGGGCACGGCCTTGATATGGAGGGAGCACATGATTGGCCGTGGCCGCGCTCGGCGGCCTCGGCCTTAATGCCTGCGACTGGCCGCTCTCTGGCCCCTTCCGAGCTAGCATGTGCCGTCATTGCCCCACCAAAGGTATGAAGAAGCTACAGAAGATAATGATTAACTACGCCCCGAGCGTCTATCCTGGTATTCGTAGCAAGTGGACAGCACCTCCCCCCTCCCGACCACGTACGCTCTTACTGCCTAACCCGTAACTCAAAATTCGGTGCATGCCCACCCGCGAAAAGCATTCCCTCGAGTTTTACAAGAGAAATTTTTACATACAATGCCGACCATGCTGACGAAGGGAATGAAACTAGGCAGCATTTTGAAGGTAGAGGGTAGAACGTCTCTCCACTCACCTCCTATCACGCTTTCATACGTTACTAGGCTTCTACCTTTCTAGGATCTCAGCAAAGTGTGTGACTCTACCTCGAACGGCTGATTCAGCCATGGTGTCTGACTGTTACGGCCATGAACTACGTCGCTGAAGTTCCCCGTCGTAGATCCTCGAGTGAGTGGCGATTGGGCGGAACTGCTCAGCGGAGACGGCAACAATGTCGGCGAGACAGAGAGTGAGGTGTACGAGGGAGATGGCTTGCAATATGGATCCATTCACTAGAGACCATGACTCCGATATGATTTAAAAACAGTGAGCTACGACAGTGAACACATAAAGTTAAGACTGCAGGTGGGAACGAATAACTCTGACGCCTGAGTTTCTGAAAGACCATTAAAAAGCATACCTTTCAGTTTTTGCACTTTTATATTTGAGGAAGAAGTGAAATTCTTTTTGTCAGATCAAGGCAGTCCAGTTGTCGCGCACGTGATGAACGTTATAGCGCAGCGTTGATTATCTGAAAATCTAGCGCGTTGACTACACATTGTTTCATTGACGCAAGAACGATCGCACTTTAGAGCTTTTTCCATTAATCGCTTTCTGCAAACGCAAAAAGGATTATATCAGGAGTAAAGAACTTTTGAGTGTCAAATGATCCTTTTGCGGACGCCATGCTAAACGCCATGTCATTCCTGTCCTTCCTGCATGGTTTTTCGACTTTTCATTCCAAATTCGGTCATCCGCACGAATAGGTATTCCGCCTACACAGAAAGCTGGTGAGAGGATGGGCGACCCTCAGTTTTTATGGCCTTATCGTTTTGCTTTCGAAACTCTGCTATTCAACTGCAGCGCTGGATCAGGGTGTGACCAAGACCCCTGGATCAGGATTCGATCCAGGAGCGCGTTCTGCTGCTTCTGCTGTACGAGCGAAAATAAACGAATGACGTCTTTGTTGCTGACTCATAGCTATTGGTAAACACGACTACTAGAAAACCTGGACAAACACTGGAGGACCAAAAGGAACGCCATGTCAGCATTTCGACAGCGAGCGAAAATGATGGTTCGAGAGGGGGTTCGGACGCTCTATTGTTAGAGCTGATACGGACCGGGTAATGAGCGCAAAGATCGCGCCCAGTCATTTTCCGAATAAGCCGCGCGGCAGAACGTAGAATGTTTTATCAATGACTCACATTATTTATTCAAGTTATGGTTTCGTCGACTAATTGGAGGAAGGTGGTTTCTCAAGCGGAACGAAGCATTTTTGGACACTACTAGCTACATCTCCATTGAAAAGTGTAGTGCTTGAAATAGCAGTGGAATTCAGCGTCCAATAATAATCCCTTAAAGGCAGAGACTCACGAAGCGTAGAGGCGGTTTTAATGATCTTTACCGATCGTCAGTGCCGTCACGACTGGCAGCGTGCATGACCTAAACCTTTAACCGCACCTATATGGCGTTAGTGACGTCATAGAAACTGCACCCCTGTATCCATGGTGATCTGCTTAAAGACTTAAGGGCAGGGTCAACAATAAATTCGGGAAAGTGTGCGGTCAAGCGCGATCTCTCCCTCTTCTCCGCCAACGTCTTGCAGGGAATTTCCATGAATTGTTTCCTTCTTTCTCCCCCTCCTCCTTCGGTCACCTCTCCAAACCTCTTCTAATGCTCCTACTTTCACAATACTCTGTCCTTCTCATTACCCTCCCATCCACTCCAACATCCGATTACCGTTCGTAGGTACGGAGGGTTAAATTGATTGTGCTGTAACTCCTAATCGACAGTTTTTTTTCTGCACAATACACACGCTCCCCCTAAACCCTATCGAAACTTGCAAAAATGTCGCCATCTGCATCCCATTGCCTGGAAACTTTCACATGAAAATGCGGGAAACGAGCTATTCCAAAGGCTCAAATAATACTGCGCAAACTGCAAGTAGATAAGCGTGAACGTACACTAGAGTTCAACCTATAAAATTTTGCAACCATGATGAGGTGGAAGGCGGTCATATGGCGCGATCCCATTGGCATTGGAGCGCACAGGCCGCAATTGAACCATCCTGCTGCGACCAGACAACTCGTCCGTCACACTCAACTACTAAACTTCAGTGATTGATCGATCTGATAATTTCGGTCTCAAAAATTCGCTGAGCCACGAAAGATATAAAAAGTAGCGGACAGCATTGCTGGCTGCCTTTGCCGAATAGTTAAGAGAAAGGCAAAATTTACCCCCCTCACAAACACATCCTCTGCTGCTACGCAGACGTTGCCCGGCCACAGCAGATCGTAATTAGAAGCGCTCCAAATGCTCAATCCGTTGCGCCATATGGATTGTATGACATAATCCTTTTGGTGTGGAGGGAACCTGGTAGTAAGTAAGAATGCGTGAGCCAGGGGGAATGGGGCCAATTCAGGGGGGTGGGGGGTGTGTGAGCCACTTAACCTGTGGCAAAAGTTTGGGCCTTAGTGTCTGGTGTCTAGGCCTTGTGAGGGAGACGCAGAGGAGCAAAAGGATTAGATGTCACATGACCCCCATCCCTGACGCAAACCCGTCGATGAGTGCTAATCTTCTGTCCCGAGCCCCGCGGCGGCCCGAGTAAAGCTAAAAACGAAGTTATTACGCGAAGTTATAAGAAACGAAGTTGGGCTTGAATGTTCGAGTGTCGAGGTTCAATTTCGGTCATCGCAAAGATGTTGAGGTGTGCGCGATACATTCTACCCCATCTGCAATCGAAGCCGAACCGCCTTGCGCCCTTCCATTCCCAGCAGAATAGTATCTGCTCATATCGCCATTTCTCTGAGTTAAAACGGCTGGCACGTTGATGTGGATGTAGTCAATGAAAGATAAGTGTCAAGGTCGACAGTGAAGTGACTGGGCTTATTATATTCGTCGACTCTAAAAATTTAACAACATTTCCTTACAGCTGGCTTCGCTACTATCGTGAACCGAAATGACTCTGCCCATTGTTTTGTAGGTTCTAGCAGCAAAGAATCAAACTGGCGCTTGTGCCAACAGCCCTTTGAAGTATAGCTATCTTGGAGATGGAACGTAGCGCCCCTGAAAAAGTCGCTTTTCACATAATGTACGCCACAAGAAGTCTCGTGCGCGTGCGCAAGAAGGCAGAGTCAGTGGATGAATGGCAGTGCATGATGTGCGATGTGGTACGTACAGTGGTACATTCTTTAACTTGAAATCATTGCAGTACGCGCTGCGACTCGTCCGCTGACTCTGCCTTGTTGCCTAGCGACGGGCCTCCTGTCGGGTACCCTTCAATGGTTCCTTTCCCCACGAAACGCGCCATGTATCCTCAGCTTAGGCATTCTGTTCCCTTTACAGTAGGCATACTTCCTTCCTGAATGACCAAATCATCGTGTCCACTCCCCTTATTGAGCAAAATACGCTAATTCGTGCTCAAACATTCACTACATACACTCAAACGCTCATACTCATCATGGTCTTCCGTAAAATTCAAAATCCCCGCATCTACCCACAGCGGTCCTTCAATCAGTCTACCACCTAGCTATACCCGTTCCTTCTCTTTCTCGCCCATTTGGTATCTGGAAGGTTTCTCTAAAAAAGTGGCTCTACTTAGATCGCTTCCTAGAAACCGTACATGAAGCTTGGTCTACGAAGTCGAGGTGATCTTGCGTCTCCGTCAGGCATAATATTTACAATTGCTAGGGGTACGCCTTGATAAATGGGTAAAGGGAGAAGATCCAATTTGAGACACCCGACTAAACCCCTCCATACCTCATGCGTTTCAACACGAGGCTCAACCCATTTCATGTGAATCCTTTACATCGGAAACACGCTATGTGGCCACTTTCAAGGTGGCGTTTCGCGAAAATTGCCGCGGAATTTACGGAGGGCAGAAGAGGTAAAGTGGTAATTGGCGCTGTTTACCTCGCGCATGATCAAGGAATGAAAGATCTGGATTGTATTGTATTGTGTTCAGGCAACAAAGCATTCCACCGCTCCGGGTCAGTTAAATGGTAGCAGACTTGCTTGGGAGGAGGGAAACCCCGACACGAGTGGATCTTCACTGTCCACTGAATGGGCTAAAGCGCCTTCAAATGCCACCACGATTCTGAGTGGAAGTAGAACACGTGGCGCATCCCAAAAAGGGACATTCACGCCAAACGCTTTCCTTTTATCCCTAATTGCTACGTGTCTCACCGATCAATTCACTGTTATGGAAGACAAACCAAGAGATAGATAACGTCGGGAAACTCGGCATTTGCTCTTTTCGACGCATTTGAGCCCTACACGGAATATGTAGAGGCGAATAGAGTACGAGTACGTCCTGGTGGAAGTACTTCCGGAGTGTCTCGGCTGGAAGTGGAAGCATTGTCTATTGCTCGTCATTCCCTCTAAAGTGCGCCGCGCAACCCATTTCTACCCAGAATTTAAAAGGCAATGCCTACCTACACATTGGTCATGGGAGCTAGAAGAGGTCGTTATCGTCTCGGTCTGACACATCCTCAATCTGATTTTCACTGCCTATTTCGGAAGGATAGAGACTTGCGTTTCTGAAGCCATGGGTTGTGCGGGACTTCTTCCTAATCACATAGTTTATGCTGCCATTAATACTCCACCCCCTCCCAGTAAGGTTAGTGTGAAATTCTGTTTCGAACGATGAATGGAAATGATCCAGTACTGACAAATGAACTCACAGTGATATGTGTATATTGATAAGTGCCGACCAAAGTGAAGAGTTCCCACGTGGTCAAAGTGGTGTCGCTTGACTGAGGTGAAGTGGCTGGACACCTCGGCTCCGCAACAGCTGAAATGATCAGAGAAGCTCTTCTGGAGGACGGGTGACGGTCCAGGTGGTTGGGCGGGGGACTCCGCCTTCTTGAACGCCGCCCACCATCTGCCGTCACCACCAACAAACAGCAGAAAGCAAAAGAAAAAAGATAAGGCACACTCCCGTGCTGCACACTCTTCACACGCGCACACTTCACGCCCGAGGAGCAGAGCTAACAGCCCTCGATCGGGCGGGTTAGATGTGGGTGGCAGGCCCATGGCTGTTAGCTCTACTTCTTTGAAGGAAACAGAGTGTTGGAAAAGAAGCGAACTCAGAAAGCTGGAGGAAATGGCATGGACAAACGGAAAATTGAGGTTGAAGCGGGGTAACTCCCTGATCTCACGCTCATATTTGTGGCTCAATACAGATCAGACAAAAGGGTATACGACTTGAGCGATGGCTAACAAGGACCTATTGACGATGTTCAGAAAATCAGGCCCCTGTTCCAGAGAGATGTTTCTCTGGTGAACCGAGGCCGAAATCAGGGGAAGCGTATGGTGAGTTGTCCTGGGCGGCTTCGAATCGCAGAAGTTACCAAGAAAAGCTCATCCACTCATCCAGTCCCAGTACAGTTTCCGTTCCACCGCACCTAATTACGCTTTTAGTAAGAGGTGGGCAATGTGGTCGATCGTGCGCTGAGGCTAGTGTTACTGACAAGAAGACGTTTTGGCAATTTCTTATTTTATAAATTGGGGGCGGAAGTGGTGTAGTGGCAAGTGGCACGCTTACCACGCGAGCGGTCCGGGGATCAAATCCTGGGTCGTGAGTCGCCCGGGCCAACCAAGCCTTCCATCCCTCCGGGGTCGGTTAATTGGTACCAGACTTGTCTGGGAGGATAAAAACACTGACTTGTACATCGGCTGGCCCCGCAAGTCATTGTATAGGCCACATCGCATTCAAACGCCACTACGAATGTACAAATGGAAGTAGAATGCGTGCCGCATCCCAAAAAGGGATTGATCAACGGCAAATGCTTTATCCTTTTTATTTATCGCTTCATTTTCTCTTCTTTGGAGCGGAGTTGGATAAATTTTCTCATGTAAGGAAAAGGATACCGTTCACCTTTCTAAATGGTTCACGAATGCTCGCGCTCTTAGGTTCATCGAATCCTCCCTCCCACACACATACCAAGGGCCATATCCTACCCTTCCCCCAGGTAGACGCCTCCCCCGCCGCTAATTCTACCCTACCTCAGCTAGGTGAGGCAGGGTTGTGTCATGGAACCCGCCATAAACGCGTATGTTGTAGCTATTCTCCCCTGTTGAGGCACTTTTTCTCTGCGGAGTCTGGAAACGCAGAGTATGGCAGGTCCTTTGATGCCACTTTATCGCGTACACGGCGCGTGCAAATGACGTCACTACGGCGATGGAACGAACAAAAAGGCGCACAATGAGTTCAGCTAGCTATTTCAGCCCAAACGATGGAAACATATAAATTTCCTAGAGCTACCATTGCTGAACCGCCGTTCAGTAGTGGAGCAAAGTAGCTGCAATCTAGGCCATTGTCAGCTTCACCACCACCGCGCGTCGCTCTGACGTTACCAGCATGGGCCACGTACGCACACATTGAGCTTGTCTGGGGAACTTTCCTGCCCGGTTCAGCATTGGAAACGTGATCCTTTGTGTTTGCAGTATGGCCTAAACTCAAAGCCGGCCTTATGGGGCCAAATAGTCTATTTTTGAGTAACGCAGAGGGTTTCGTTAACCCATGCCTCAGATCGCCTTACTAGGGATGTTTTACGAACTCTGAATTTCCCATGGAACTTTGAAAGGAGACCTAGGTACATCGATAGAGTCTTGGACGCTGATTACAAATATGGACACTAAAACTGCTACGTGAACTTTGTAAGAAAGTTGTGAGCCTTAAAAGTTGCAAAAGAACGCTAATGATGAGGTGCAACCTATGTGGAAACACGGTTGCTTTTTGCCTGGAACTTGTTCTATAAGGGTAAATGGGTGCCCTGATTACGAATATGAGACTCGTTTTGGCGCAGAGCCACGGCGACTGTGATTCCACCAGGTAAGCTCGCCTCAGTAACGTTTTTCCAACTTTGAAGGCTCATAACTTTCTTAGGAAGTTCACGTAGCAGTTTTAGTGTCCATATTTGTAATCAGCGTTCAAGACTCTATCGATACATCTAGGTCTCCTTCAAAGTTCCATGGGAAGTTCAAAGCATTTCCTTGTTAGATCGAATTATTGCACTTTCAAAGGCTTCGATGAAATGGTTGATGGTGATGTGACACATAGGAGCGTGAGATCAGTTCGGATGAGGCGTGCTACAGCTTGGAATGAGATTCCTTTTTAACCCAGTTTTTCGACTTCGAAGCAACTCCGCAGCTGTAGCACGCCATGCACCCGCGGGGTTATTTTGTGCGATCAAACAAAGCGTTCCGAAAATGTCATCACAGTTCTCCGAAGGCCCGACGGTTTCGAAGAATGCGCGACACACTGCAATATGATTACAATACATTCGATATACGGTATCTGAAAAATTGATTATTTTCTTGAAATCAGATAAACAACAGTGAACGGATAGTGGTGAACCGAGAAAAAGGAGAGCAAAACTGAGAATATAGCGTGGAGGATAAGGAACTGAAATCGATTTTGTGACGTCGATTGATCCGTTCTTCCAGAGAAATCAATAATATAAGTAATATGTCGTAGCAGTTGATCTTCTTTCGCAAGGGGGCCAATGGTAGATGGCAGCGCTATCATGGCACATGGTCAAGGAAATCGGTTTCTGTTCGGAATG